ACACTTTACTTAGGTTAAATGGTTTATTTAAAGGATCCAATACAGGAATGACCAAGAGGAAAAGCTGCCTAGGTATAAAGTGAGGGACATGAAACTTCTATCCCTTGTCCAGGTGTAACCCCTCTCCCAGCACCTTAATGTACTCACTAGTCCAGAACTCTGGGAACATTACTTAGGTGGTCTTATAGGGTGTAAAAACTCAGTACACACTATGTGCAGAGACTTCTTTACATAGGCATGATGGGTCCCTGGTGATAACTCAACCTTCAGCCCTTGTACTTCCAGAGGTAGGGGGTGGGGCCAAAAGTTCTGACCCTGGAAAATGAATGATTGGTTTCCCTGGTAACCAGCCATCCTCCCATAGGGTCTTTCCAAAGTCATCTCACTAATATAAATTGAGATGTGGTTGAAGGGCCCTCATGACAAGTCACAAAAATGTTCACCCTGTCAATCCCCAGCTCTTTTATAGGCTGGAGATAAAAATCAAATCTTTTAACCAAAAATACTCCTGCCACTTAGGAATACAAGAGGTTTAGGATATGCATCAAGGAGCTGGGGGCAAACTTTAATATATGTTTCTCTTGTTACAGCACATCACATTAAGACATTAACTAGTCCACATTTTACTAGTAGTTGGGGGTCACTCCATTAAAAGATTGTTCCTCACTTCCTCCTGTGTAGGATCAACGTTGTATCTATCCAACACAAACTTAAGTGAGCCAAGTGGGAAGTGGTGCTGTGGCTCAAGCAGTAGAGCACTGGTCTTGAGCTGAAGAGCACAGGGACAGTGGCCAGGCCCAGAGGTCAGGCCCCACGACCGACAAAAAAAAAAAAAGTTTGGAAGTGACACTGTGGCTCAAGCAGTAGAGCACTCGCCTTGAGCTGAAGAGCGCAGGGACAGCATCCAAGCCCAGAGTTCAAGCCCCACGATCCAAAAAAAAAAAAAAAAAAGTGAGCCAAGTGGGTCTGTTCCACCTGGGTATGCTGCACTCCTGGAGTCCCAGTTACTCAGGAGACAGAGGCAGGAGGATTTCTTGGAGTTTGAGGCCACCCTGGGCAAACATAGCATGGCCTGAATCTCAAAAACAAAGAAGCTAGTATGCTTTGCCGATCTGATCATCTCTCTTTCTGCAACATACCAAAACATATTGGCCTTAATGTTTGCAGTGGAGGAGTAGGGAGTGGGGAGTTAGAAAGCTTCCCAGCAGTGGTAGCCTTAAACCTATGCCATGTGATTGGACTCAGTCTTTTGGCAGAATTCTGCTCTGCAGGTTATTGGGTGCTCACTCAGCTAGGAATAAAATGACCTTTTGTTTTCCATTCCAGTTCTTCTCTTGCATCTAGTTCCCTGGGGGATCCTAAGGAGAGGAGAGATCATTAGTAGAGTGGGATTTGCCTCATTCTTGTCTTTGCTCATAGCAAACTACTTTTGCACAAATCTTGCTGCTCTTCTAAGTGAAGGCTAATACTTCCCTTCCCCACTGAGTACATACTGGGTTTGGGACACTTGTTCTAGAAAATGTGAGAAGATCCAACAGGTATTAAGTTCCAGCCTGAAGTATTAAGAGCCAGTATATGGCTCACCATGACCTCTTTTTTCTTCTTCCCTGAGAGGCCAATGTTGTCCCAGCAGATTGCCCTATCAGTCTGGGTTCTTGTGTGAAGAAAACCTTGAAGAGAGCCAGGCCATCCTGCCAGGGACACTGATAGTCCTATGATCACTTATTATGATAGCTGAACTTCGCCCATAGTAACTGATATACTTACCATATTGACATCACTATCCAACACCATTGTCTGTTCTCCCAGTATCTGTTCTTCATTTATTGTTCCCAAGGCAAGCCCAACTTTGTCCAGGTGTTCACTCACTTCTTCATGGCCACATGCTCAGGGAGAGCATGTGGCTATCAAGCCATAGGATGAATAATAATTAAGTCATTCATGAGATTTTCTTCTTCTTTGCTAGTGTGAGCTGAAGTTGTCTGAAGAAGCCTCATCTAGATTAAAGATTCTACAAACTGACCTTCAAAATATTGTGATTGTTGAGCAATGGACTGCTGTAGGTTGAGAGCCAAAATTACATTGGGTTATATTGGTTCCTATAGAAAAAATAACCATTTACTTTTTTTTCCAGTCCTGGGGCTTGAACTCTGGGCCTGGGCAGTCTGACCTTTTTTTGCTCAAAGCTGGTGCTTTACCACTTGAGCCACAACACCACTTCCAGCTTTTTGGTGATTAACTAGAAACAAGAGTCTTACATACTTCCTTACCTGGACTGGCTTTGAACTGCAATTCTCAGATTTCAGCTTTCTCAATAGCTAGGATTACAGGAGTGAGCCCATGGGCACCTGGCAATCATTTGCTTTAAACATTTGCACCTGACCTAAAATCTTCATCACTATTAGGTAAAGCTGTAGGTTTCTAGCCTCCACTAACCCTAAATGTAAGACTGTTATAATCATTGAAATCTACAAAAAGAGATCTCTCTACTTTCTTATAGCCTGCCTACATAGGATCTGACCCATGAAGTTGGTTACATATTGTGATTTATTACATTCTTTGTTCTGTGGCTATAAAAGTTTGTGTAATCTCTTCTATCTACAGCAGAGCATGTTATTCAGAGTCAATTGAATCTGTGTTTCTGGGCCATGATCATTCAGATTTGGCTCAAAATAATTTTCTTTTTTTTCTCCTTTAAAGCAGAATTGTTACTTTATATTGACTGGTTTAGATATGGATATAAAAGTCTAGGAAATCTACTTAGTGGCTTCTGAGATAGGTCTCTCTTGCTGATAAAGAGACATAGGGAAGAAAGTCTTTACTTGTGCTGCATGTTGTGTGTTTGTGTCAACTGGCACTGTGGCAGCCGTTCTGTATTATAAGGGGGGAACTATGCTAAGGATTTCAGAGTGAAGAAATGGCAAAAGTCTGGAGTTATTGGGCTGTTAGGGGTGGGGAACCTTTTTTTTCCTTCCTAAGGCCATTTTGGTTATTTATAACATCAATAGAGGCTATACACTCACAGGCAGATATGGTTAGGAAGTGGTTTTGGAGGTTACTAATACATGGGACACTCAGTTACAATTATGAACTTTTAAGAAGATACATTTCAGGGACTGGAAGATATTTTGTGACACAAAAAGATTTAGTTAATGACTGCTTGAAAAACAAATTTTTTAACTCCTGAGATCCTAGCTATTTGGGAAGCAGGAATTGAAAAGATTACCCAAGCAAGGCCTCTCCTCCCATCTCAACCAGTAAAGCTGAGCATAGTGGTGTAAAAAGTGTCATCCCAGCTACTCTGAGGCAGAAATAGGAGATTGTGCTGCGGTCTGGCTCAGATATAAACACGAGACCCTATCAAAAAACAATATCTAAAACATAAAAGGCTAAGGGTGGGGCTCTAGTGATAGAGTGCAGGTGTGGGCTCTGAGTTCAAACTCTAGTACTGAAAAAAACAGGAGTTAATTTTTGAAATTCTATCTATACAGAGCTTTTCCAAAAGCTCATCTTAGTGAGTTCCCTAAGACATCTCCAATTCAGTTATCAACGCTGGACTTACCTCGACACTATAAAACTACCTTTGCTTTGTTAAGCAACAAAACAAAACAAAAGGTCTATTTTAAATGAGCTGCCAAAAGTAACTCCAGTTTCAGTCCTACAGTTGTGTAGAAAAAAACAGGCTTCCAACACTGTTGTTTGGCAGGCAGAGTTTGCGAATGGCTCCGGATCAAGGACAGTGTTTGAACATGACTCAGTTGTGTGGCCTACGGAGGTGAGATCGGATGTGAGAGAGGGGACACAAGTCCGTAGACCTTCTAGCTAAGGGGGGGGGAGGAGGAGGAGGAGGAGGA